TGCTGAACAACAGAGAACACTTCCCATGTCAGCAACTTGCTACACCACACACGCACAATCACCGTCAGACCCGCCTCATCATGTTACTGTTAAACGGTTTTCTCACTCCTATTAACCCTAGGGTTATTACAAGAGAAAGTATTTTACATTTTGTATTTCCTTATCCCCATTTCTGACAGACATTTGCTTTCAGCACTTTATTTGCTTCAGACAGTGGAAATCAGGAGTCTGCTTCAGTTTCATGCTGCATTCAAGGCTGTCGTGCTTGGCTGGCAAAGACTTTGTGGAAAGGTTTAAAATCAAATAAAAAACACTGTTTTTATTTCCCATTAAAAAAATTATGAAAATATTCCTATTTGACTTTTCAAAACCTTTAAAATGACAAAACCAAAACTCTTCTTGTGCCCTTGCCCTAAATTTTAGGTCTCGTTATCTGATAGAATCTTACTAAATATGCACTGCGAATTATCTTTATCCTAACTTAATCACAGAATCATAGAAAAGATCAGGGTGGCAGGGCCTTCAGGAGGACATCTACTCCAACCCTCTCAAGGCAAGATCATCCCAGTCAAGCGTTTGTCTAACTGGTACTTAAAAATTTCCAAAGATGGCGATTCCGCAGCCTCCCTAGGTAACCTGTTCCAGTGCTGAAACACCCTCATAATTGGGAAGTTCTTCCTAAAAAATATAATAAAGCTGTTGTAACAGACTATAGCTTCCTATAACCAGAGTCCTGAGGAAGGATGGTTTACATTCAAAAGCTTGCCTAACTTTATCCCAACAACATAGTTGGTTCAATAAGAGATAGCACCCTAAGAAATCCTTGCCTCTAGCATGACTAGAAAAATATTTTGCAATCTTCAGCACAGAGTCCAGTAACTCAAGTATTGCTTTCTTCTGGAAATAAAACCCCCTTGAAAACAGGAGGGAATGCTTCTTACGTATCAGGAGTGATGTCTGCTGGAGAGTTGATTGAACATTTCTTTAGTGAGTATTGGACAATTTCCTGTACAGGCTGCTATTAGCACCTGGGGATTAGTTTATCGGGAGCATCGTTTTAATTGGCGTGCAAACAGGAAGCAGCAACACCTCCCCAGGTCAAACGCAAGACTGTGAGGGTCACATCATCTGGCACTGCAGGACAAAGAATGCATCCAGGCAGCATACTTCCCCACTGCAGAAGGACATACAGAAGGAGCAGGTGTGCCCTGGCCTTCTGAATGTTTAAATATATAATCTACAAAAAGTGATCCAACAAAAACAGATGGGTCAAACAGTCTACAAGGTCAGAAAAGTCAAATCCCTTGGCGTTCAGGAAAAAAAATCTGATCACATACTTCTACATGCAAACTGGCAACAGTGAAATTAACTGACTCGCTGCACAAATCAATCAACTCTGTTTGAGCTAGACCCCAGAATCTGACACAGAGATTTCACTGAGAGTTTTTATAGGCAAAATGTGCCTATAACCCAGGGGAATTATTCTGCTTACAGAAAAGGGACTTCAGACTGCACCTGAAACTGTTAGGACCAGACACCCACCTGTCCTGCAGGTATATAGCCAGGCCACCACGCAATAGCTGGCTCTCTCATGCCACCTTCAAACGTTGTCTGTTTTCCGCATAGAAAAGGCCCATTGCTACCCCCTAAAGAGAGAGGATAATTGAGAAACATTAAAAGGTGCCAACAGCATATTTTAAAAGGGTACCAAATAGGAGTTTTTGAAACCAGCATTTTAAAAGAATTTTATTTTGTGGATCAATATAATCTAACTGGCACATGCGGCATCACTTTGATTGCCTTCCTTTAAAATAAGGTTTTAGGATAGACTTTCCTGCTGCTCTGTAGCTATTTCTGCAGTGGACAACCCGATTAACAGACACTGCAAATATGAAACAAACCAATACGATCATTTTTGTCCATTTTGTTTTACTCTAACAGTGTTAAATCTGCCTTGTGGCCAAAGGAGGTCAAATTTTCCAGACAGATGTGTTATTTTTATAGCAGCCCCTTACATTTTAGGGGTTTTAAATGATATAGACATAAAGATGACAAATAAGATTACATTATGTTTCCCCCAAAAACCTCTGATCAGAGACAACGACTGGTTTGCAGCGACACTCCTTTCATCCCCAGCTTTGCAGTTAAGCTGGCTGAGGAACAAAGCAGAAAGGTTGCCCAGGGTCACAGTGTCAGTGAGATTAGAACTCAAGAACCTCACAGCCTTATGGCCTGGTAGCTCCTAGACTGCAGATCTCCAAACAGAGAGGGAAAAAAGCTGTAAAATCTAATTTGCAATGGCTGTACCTCAGGGAAACAAACTTAGAAACAAAAAGGAAATCTGTGAAGAGAAGAAAACCTGTTCATGACAGGGAATGCTTGTTCCTCCTGCTGTTTCTTCATAAGAACTGAAGAGAACAGGACTCTTGCATTTTTTATAAACTATTCAGAAAAGTCAGATATGCATTTGGAAATGGGGATCTAATTCGTCTTCCTAATTAACTAATATAGAAGGCTTAGCAGTTCGTTGTACATTTCCCTCCAGCACGCACAATACAAGTGATAGATGTAAAAACTAGCCAGCAGGCAGCTAAATGATGGCTAACTGTAATCCTAAATAAAAACCCCTACCCATCAGCACTGGGGCCTAGGGTAGAAGGGGACTTGTGTGTGAACATGTCTGAGCTTTAGAAAGAGTTACCCAAACCTCAATGGTGCTAAACCAAAACCCAACACGGGAGTCTCCGTCTTCCAACTCTGGGACTGTTCAAATCTGGGCCCAAGTTTCCCAGCTCCAACTGAGCTTTGTCTTCTACACACCTACCCTGTTTAGGAGCCGAAATGAGGGCAGCCCCATTATCAGACGTGAAAAACACAAACGTGTTCTTGCTGATGCCCAGCTTCTGAAGGTGTTTTAGGATTTTTCCAATGCTGTCATCAATTTCTCGCACAGCATCTCCATACCTGAGAAAGAAGCAGTTATGAACATTTAAGACGGTGAAGGAAGGAAGGAGAGTTTAACACAAGGTAATGCACTACAATAAAACACGGCATCTTTAGAATACACAACTAATGCTTGTGCTGGAGAGGGAAATAATTTACCCACCCATCAGGTAGGTAATGAAAGTTTGCCAGTGTCATTGTATAACTTATGCCTCTTATCTGCGGAAGGCAACCTCTCTGGGATATTAAAGCCCTTTGAGTTTGCTCAGATCTGAGCCACTCTTGGACAGAAACCAGCAATTGAGATAAATTAAACCATATGGCTCCCAGACATACGCAAAGGCCACTTTGCTCTGAGCTAGAGGCTAATAACATTATTTTGCTTATAGATGCTAGCTGGAAATTACAATCTCAAAACTGAGGCCCACTACGCACACAGGACTACCCTTCCCCTCCTGAAAATTGAAGTTTCCAAGACACAGAGCCTGTTTGCTGTTCTGATTTACAAGCTTTTAAACCAGGCACTAATCAACACTAGACCAGCAGCCTTCCCAAAGCATCCCTTCCATATACAGCATTTCAATACTCACACAACAGGCAAGGGAATGTCGATCTTCCCCACATATATGTCACCATATTTTTATTTCAGATAATAACAAACATCTTGAAAATCAGCATCAGCAAAATCCTTTGCAAAAACTGAATCAAATACCAGGCTCATCAATGTATGGGTTTGCACTTCAGGACACACACACAAACAAACAGCAGTCTATGTTCTCAAGTCTAATAAGAAGTTGTACTGCAGGAGGTATAAATCAAACAAAAAGTGACTTACAGCCCTCTCTGGCTAGTGCCCAAGAAATCTTTGGAGGCATACACAGGCGCATGAGTGGCATCAATTGCCCAGTACAGAAAGAAAGGCTGTTGACTGGCTTGCTGCCTGTTAATAAAATCAAGAGCTTCCTGCAAATGATAATAAAAATTAACTTAACAGAAACATTCTCTGCCATCTAAACACTGCATGAGAAGAAACATAAAATGATTGTGGGTTATAAACCCCTATTAAAAGGCACAATACCTTTAAGTAGATCTGAGTTAAGTTTGCCTCCCCTGTCTTCAGATCAATTTTGAAATCTTCGTAATATCTTAAAACAGAAAAGGGGGGAGGGGGGGGGGGAAAATCGATTACCTGCGGAGTACAGAACAAAAGGGCTTCTCTTCCCCATTACTTACAGAGGCAGGTCACTGTTACTCAACAAAAGGGCAGGCTCATAATTTTTGTAACCAGCCAATTCTCTTTGGAAACAAAAAACACCTTCATTATGCTTTTACGACAGGCACGAGCAGCAAAATCTTATTAAGGAGAAGACCAAAGTGAGTGAGGATGTGCAAGATCTGTGTGCACCCAAGCCGACGGGTTTGTTTCCTATTGCACAGTATCTTATTGAATAATTAAAGATAACTATTCAGCAAAACAAGCTCAAATTCTTGGTGCAATCTTAAAACAGGGATAAATAAGATAAATAGGGATATCCCATTAAAAAAAAAACCCACATGAATACCCAATTCCCCTTTCTACAGGGCTGTGCAGTCTATGGGTAACATTTTCAACAACCGGTAAAGTTCGCTATAAGACTCAGGCTCCCAAGCATCCTTGAAATTGGGACATGTTGTTTTCAAATTTTCAGTATGCTATATTAAGCAAAAGGCAAAGGAAAAAAAACCTGGAGAGAGCACTGGAGAAACAGAACAGGAGAAGATGTGTTTTGAAGACAGCAGGCTAGAAAGATACAGGCTGTAAGCTTGGAGGCTATGGTGGGAATGTCAACATAGAAAGGGTTATTTGCAAATAGGAAGGAAGGAAACAAAACTTTCTGCAGTTACGACTGGCACTGGCTTCCAAGAGGCAGCAGAGAGGAATCAGCACAAGGGATCTTTCAGGCACATCTGTACGGGCTCCTATAAGAGTGTCTAAAACAGCAGGGGCCTATCCACAGTCTGTGAACACCTGCAGAAAGTTCTTGGCTCTCTGGACTACAACCCTCTACACTAATATTCTACCTTGAACTTAGCTGTCCTGCGAGCAACCCATCATTGGCACAGTGCCCCTGTTTGAATAGTCAAAAGCTCTGGCATGTTATGGTATCCTGGGCACTCCCGTAAGTCTCCTAAATAGCAGTGAGAGGCAGGGTGCTTGATAATCCCAGTGAGATGCCATGCAGAAGCCCAGCACTGAAGCAGTAGGGCTTCAAAGTCCATTTTTGAGATAGGAACACATGCCATGGTTCCAGCAGGCAGTAACTGAAGAGTTCATTGTAAAGCCTAGCAGTGATGAAGCACCTGGGAGCTCTTCAACCATTCTGACTCCCTTTCGCTATGGAAAACCAATGTTAGAGCCAGACGCATAACTCAGGAGCTTGCTTCCTAGCCCTGCGTGTATATCACTGTGCATGCATCCCTCTCAATAAGGAGCTACATCTGCAAATGGAAAAAGAGGCTGACAGATCCAGCCCAGAAACAAGTGTTGTGAACTGCCAAAACTGTGGTTCACAAACCAGCCCATCCTGACTTCTAGCCTGAACACAAAAACCTTCCTACCCACATGGCAAATGCTCCATACCTGATTCTTGAGAATAAAACCCTCTTGGGAACTGTATAAGAAGCCCCACTTCTTTGGGTAAGGCTGTTGCAAGTTCTCACCTGGGCCTTACACTGCTCAGTGTAGGCCATCTCTGTCCAGGGGCACCCAGCTCCCTTGAGAACAGAGATGGCCTGAGCAGCATATGAACCAGGTAAGTTTGCAATAGCGTTTAGCCAACAAAGAGGGGCTTTTTAATAGGAAACTGTCCAAAAGGTTTTTATCCTCAGAAATCAGGTTTGGAGTGTTTGCCATGTAGGTAGGAAGATTTTGTGCTTGGGCTAGAAGTTAGGATGGGCTATAGCTCACTGGTGTGTGAAGGACAACGGGTTTCTGCATTAACAATTCTGGGATTGCCTACTCTATACACCTGGCAACTCTGTAGGGATGCTAGGAAAAGCCCTGGGGTAAGTTGCAAAGGTAAGTGAACCAGCTCAGCCTTAGGGCCTGGCTGACTCAATAGCTCACTGCACAGACAGGATTTTGGGGACTGTTGCCCATCAAACCAAGCCATGGTGTTGTAGCTCTGCCCGACTCAGAAGTTTCTGTATTTTCCCCATCTCTTCCTAGCTGAAGGCAGCTTGCTGTGCAAACCTTATCCTCCAGTAGAGCACAGACAGCAGAGAAAGCAAAGAAAAGAAGGTGCCAGTAACCTTCAAATCTTTCCTGACAAATAAGCTGGGGAGTAAACGGCTGAAATACCTGCCAATCATTTCCTGGTCCCTATACACAGGGAGGTTTGGGAAGTCCTTGTTATTGTACGGTCCAAAATGGCAGTTCGGGGACCCAAACCACTCATCAAACCCATGCTTCAGAGGGTGGAATTGGGGTCTGTGACCCAGATGCCTAGGAACAAAACACACACAGAGCTCAGGAGTCCATTGACAAGGAGAAAACAAGCACCATATGGCAAGAAAATCTTCCAGCGACATCAGAGGAATATTTTAGCAGTTTCAGACAAATCAGTGACTAAGCAATGGGTGCGGGTAATACAAGTATAGAAGCCCCTGCCACTATTTCAGAGTCTCCATTTCATTCAATTCCCCTTGTGCATCTTGCCTTCCATTAAATACCACTTTCTTCTATGCTCTTGAGTGCAACTGAACACAGACAGACACACTCCCGAGTCCACACAGAGCCGCTTGCAAGGGTTAGTCCATAGTTGAGAGACTGCTGGAGACAAATGGCCTTTGCTCTTTTCTAGTTCCTTCCTATTAACATCTTCTCTGATGCCATCTTCATTATGGTCCCCTCAGCAGAGGTGGGGTCCGCTCCACCACCCAGAACACACAGCAAAAATATACATAACAATTCACTTGGGGCCTGCACGATCTGCACTAAGGCATCTTTGCTGCACTCGGACACAAAGGAGCCGCAAAACCCGTGCAATTGTTAGCTGCATTTAAGTTTGGTTTAAGAAAGCATTTGTGTTACAGAATGAAGTAAAGCGAACCCTAACCTAAGTGAGAATGAGGCCTGCAGAATGCACAGACACACAGAAAACACGTGCTGCTGCTCTGCTGAACAGCTTCGCGCCAATGTATAGCTTGGACCCTCCTTCCTTGGCTCCAGGCTCCTGCTCATTCCCAAGCCTCACGTTCCAGGACTGTGAATAATTCACTTCCTGCATTTAGGCTATCCAGAAGGTATTTGAGGGAACTGTCATTCCCTCCCCGTCTCCACGGGAGACATTTCTAGCCAAATATAAATGTATTACTTCAGTCTCCTCCCTTGAGCCGTCATCTTTAACCCAGTCTCTTTTATTGCCATCCTTTGTATATTCTTTGAACTCTGGGAGCCAGAAATGCATGTGCTGGATTACACCAATCCATGATGTAACCCCAAGGGGTGCATCAGGGCTGCACTTCACCTC